TTGTATCTTAACCAAACATCGTGGAAGGAGAGATTACAGACCTCAGGGAGACTGCACAGCATCCAGGTACGGAATGTAGCGGCCCCCTGGGGTGGGGGGGGGGGAGGGGGGGTGTGGGTGCTGTGGTGGTGAGCGCGCTGATAGTGTAGTCCAGAAGGGAGCGCTGTCCCGCACCGTGTGTTAGTCAGGGAGTATTATTTCCCCTCACAGCGCCCAGTTGTCAAACCCAAAACCCCTTTACCTGACCCCCACCCCTTCAGGACCGCGAACAGTCAGTTTCTCCTGGGTGGCCACTGAGATTGTCCTTTTCGGCCCCCTGGCCCCCTGCCTGAGTTCCCGACTCTGTCCCTCTCCCTGGTTTCTGAGGCAGAACCAGGCTGTACCAGCCATACTGTTTGATTTCCATTTACCTCTGTAACGCTGTTTGACTCAGACCCCTGTCTGGAGAGGGAACCCTTTGTCAGCTCCTCCAGTGTCTCAACTATTCCCAGTCACGGTCAGCCATTCACCCACGTTCTCCCCTCCTGAATGATCAGCTTATCCCAGTCCTGTTCACTTGTGCCTGCTGACTGGAACCCTGCGTCTGGCGACAGCTCCCGTTTTTTAAAAAAATTCTCAACCCTATTTCCAAATCCCTAACATGACTGATTAATTTTTTTAAAAAAAATGTTCCCCTTTTTCTAAATCTCCCTGAAGTCTGCAGTGAATGACTTGTCTCTTCCCTAAACCTGTCCACGATTGACAAGGTGCACTGTTGTTTCATGTTTGACTGGAAGCGGGAATGAATCCATGTTGTTGGAGACCTGCCCTGGGAGTGTTTGTGGCAATGTACAGGGAGCTTTACTCTGGATCTAACCCCGTGCTGTCTCTGTCATGGGAGTGTTAAATGGGGATAGTGCAGAGGAAGCTTTACTTTGAGGTTAAGAGAGTAGAAAGAGCTTTACCTTTGGTTTAAAAGAGTGGAGGGAGCTTTTATATGTATCTAACCCCTTGTTTTCTCTGCCCCCATGAGTGGGGACACTAGAGAGAGCTTTCCTCTGTATCTAACCCTGTTCTGCCCCTTGTCCTGGGAGTGTTTGTGGATAGTGGAAAGAGAGTCTTACAGTCTCTAAATCTCTACAATCCCTGTCCTGGGAGTGTTTGGGGAGAGCTTTACTTCTGGTTTAAAAGTGTAGAGGAAGCTTTATCTTGCGCTATGCCATCCCTGTCTTGGGAGCTTTCGGGGATAGCATAGAGGAAGATCTGTGTTCATGTTAAGAGTAGAGTAGGCTTTACTCTTGTCTCGCCCAGTGCTGTTTTTGTCCCAGGAGTGTTTGATGGGATCAGAATTGAGACAGCTTGACTTTAGTTTTGAAGAATAAAGAAATCTTTCCTTTTTGGTCTTTAAAAAAAACACCTAGATGAAGCTTTACTTTCCATTTTATTTTTGGTTTAAAAGGAGAGGTTGCTTCGCTGTGTATCTAATCCTGTACTGTCCATGTCCCTGTCCCTGGGAGTGTTTGGGTGGGGTGACAGTGTAGAGGGAGCTTTACTTTCACTTTTAGTTTAAAGTGGAGGGTACTTTTACTTTTGTATCTAACCTAACCCAGCCCATCCCCTTTTCTCCCTGCAGGTGGGGTATTCTTCAGTGGCATCGAGCAGAGGCTGGGTCAGCAGGGGACCCAGTACCTGGACAGCTCGTCCCCGAGACCAGCTGTACAGAATGTGGTCAGCACCCAGTATGCCCTGCAGCAGGTCCCCAGCACTTTGGCCACGCTGGAGTTCGCGGAGGGTCTCGGCATCAGCGGTGGAGCTGGCGGGTGTAAGATGCAGACCAACTCTCCTCTCCACTACAACACGCACCATAATCAGGTATCGGCCTGCATACAGCGTGCCCAGTTGGGGCATTTTACCTTAGTCCCTCGTGCTGAGCCACCTCCCGTCCCATCGACACATCCTCCTAACCCTTTCACCCTGGTGTTTGTCCATGTCTCCTCTTCTCCCCTGCCCAAAACAAAAGCAACAACAGATGCAGAAAGCTCAAATGTGGTTTTGCGCTGATCAGGACAAAAGCAAGAAGACTACATACGAAGCCTTCAGTATCACTTGTCGTGATCGTTCAAAATATGTCCTTCTTGCATTTGGCCTCGCCACGAGGCAAGCTGAAAAACATTAAAGACGTGTCTGTCTTTTTCAGGGATATTCCAAGTGCTGTACTGCCTAATGACTGAATCAGTACTGTACACCTTGATCACTCCCTGCGTCACTGAATTCTGCATTCTCCCTGCTCTCTGTGCAGTGTGATATTTCTCTTGAATTCCCATTTTGTATTTATTCATGACCACCCTTGCATCATTGGCTCCTTGTTCTGGTCTTGCCCACAAGTGGCAGCGCCATCTCTGCCCACCAGCTAATGGATTTTCCCAGTGATTTTTGAAGGGTGCTCTCTGCCCAGAGGAGGGGTCCCATGTGTCACCTACAATTGTGCCACCGTTGCCTGGGTTTGATCAGTACTCCTAGCCAAACAGCACGGAAACAGACCCTTCAGACCGAGCGGTCTGTGCTAACCATAATCCCAAACTAAACTAGTCCCAGCTGCCTGCGCTCGGCCCATTTCCCTGCAAACATTTCTCCTTCGTGTACTTATCCAACATGTCTTTTAAATGTTGTAGCTGTACTCGCATCCACGGGTTCCCCTGAATAGGGTGAATAACCAGGGTAGGGGAGTTCAAAACCAGAGGGGGAAGATTTAAAAAGGACCGAAGGGGCAACTTATTTCATGCAGAGGGTGGTGCGTGTGTGGAACGAGCTGCCAGAGGAAGTGGAGGGGGCTGGTACAGTTACAGCATTTAAAAGGCATCTGGATGGGGACATGGATAGGAAGGGTTTAGAGGGATATGCGCCAAATGCTGGCAAATGGGACTAGATTAATTTAGGATATCTGGTTGGCGTGGACGAAGGATCTGTTTCCACGTGTACCAGCTCTGACATTTCACAGAAGAACCACTGTGTAGTTTCTTTTAAAACAAAATTGGCCCTTGTGTCCCTTTTTTTTAAGGTGAGAGGTAAAAGACTTTTTATAAAAAGAAAAGGTGCCCAGTAGTTTTGAAATCCTGCCCCTAGGGAAAAGACCCTCATCGTTCACTTTATCTATACCCCTCGTAATTGTATGGACTTCTATAAGGCCACCCTTCAGCCTCCTATGTTGTTGTGGGGGAATAAGTCCCAGCCTTTCCAGGCAGTATTTATTTATCAAACCCTCCATTCCTGGCAACATCCTGGTTAATCTTGTCTGCCCCCTCTCCGGCATACTGATAGCTCCCCAAAAAGCCCCAAAGTAAAACAATCTCCCCCCCCCCGTTCTGCTCATGTCCTCTTCGCAACTTTTCCTTCCTGCTGCTAGGTCACTGCTTCTGCTATGCCCTCGGTACCTCTGTTCTGCCTATCTGCAGCCCAGTGGTGCCTTTTTGATGTGGTGAATGTCCATTTCTGTGTCTCCCCTCACCACCACACCTTTTTATAAAAGAAAAATCAGCCAGGAGCCTGAGACTGATCTTGTTTGTGGCTCTGGAGCGTCCAGCCCCTGCCACGATTGTGTGCTGCAGCCTACCTCCCCACTGCTTTCCCTGCACCCCCATTCACACTGTAGGCCTTTCCCTTGCTATTGCAGCTGGGTGGGGTGCGGGTGGTCATGGTGTTGCCTTGGGGTTGTGAACCAGCAGCCCCTGGCAGTAAGAGATGAGACCCGTTCACACCCTCGGGGGGTGTAGTGGACTGGGCCCCGTGGCTGACTGCTTGGGCCCAGAGGATGGCTTTAATTGGCGTTGTTACAGGGAAAGGGGGTTTGTCCTAACCAAGGAGGCCTGGGCCCGTACCTGTTGGGGCTGGAGGTGGGGAGGGGTGTAGAGGTGGGGTGCTGGAGGTGGTGACGTATCGACACTTGAGAGGGGGTTCCCTCTGCTGGTCCCTGGAATGAAGGGGTTTGTCTAGAAAGAAAATGTTGAACGGCAGTGGGCACAGGTCCAGAAGGAGGGGAGGTGCTGTTCCTGAAATTTAGAAGCACCTGAAGTTGGGTGCCAGAGTGAACAAGATGGGGTGCAATGTTTAGAATCAAAGCAGCTCCCAATGAACAACAACACCTTTTGCCTGGATGTGGTCCGAATCCCTCTATTTCCTACCTATTTATATCTGTCAAGACATTTCTTAAACGTTAGTATTGTATCTGCCTTCACTACCACCTCTGACAGTGCATTCCTGGCACTTACTACCCTCTGTGCGTGGGGGCTTGCCTTTGGCAGTGTTAAACATATCCCATTTTACCGTAAATCTACATCGCCTAGTAAGTGACACTTCTACCCTAGGAAAGAGTCTCTGACTGTCCATGCCCCACGATTTTGTAAACTTCTGTAAATTCGCCCCTCAACCTTAATGTGTAAACAAACCAAGTCTGTTCAATTTCTCCTCATAGCTAATACCCTCCAAACCAGGTAATGTACCGGTAAACTGTTTCTGTATCCTCACCGACTTCTCCACTGTGTGCAGAGCTGCACACAGTATTCCAAATGTGGCCTATCTAATGTTCCATACAGCTGCAATAATGACTTGCCAAGTTTTGTAGTCTATGTCCCCCCACCCCCCTGCTGATGAAGGCAAACATGCCATATACAGTGTCTTCTTGCCCATCTTAAACCATTTTACCACTTTGAGGGACCTGTGTGCCTAGATCCCTCTGTATGTTGATGCTTCTAAGGGTTCTGCCACTTATTGTATACTTTCCTCCTACATTAGGCCTTGCAAAATGCATCACCTCGCAATTGTCCAGATTAAATTCCATCTGCCGTTTCTTCACCCAGATCTCTGCCGAGCTATATCCTGCAGCTGCCCCTGATCTTTGCGTTGTTCGCATACTTATTAATCATTCTCCTCCAAGTCATTCACTTTTGTGTATATGTATCACAAACAACACTTGTCCCAGCACTGATCCCTGCAGAAACACCACTGCTCACAGGTCCCCGGTCAGAAAAGCCTCCTTCCACTGCTACTCTGTCTTCTGTGACTAAGCCAGTCCTGTATCCATCTTACCAGCTCAGCGTGGATCCCATGTGACTTCACCTTCTATATCATCCTGCCATAAGGGACCTTGTCAAAGGTCTTGCTAAAGTTCAGATAGACATCTACTGCCCTGCTCCCCCAGCCCCACACAATCGCCTCTTGTCGCTTCTTGCAAAAATCTCCATCGAGCTTGTGACTCACCAGCTTCCTCGCACGAAGCCGTGCTGCCTGTTATTAACAATCCACCCCTGGATGTGAGTGAATTTTATTCCCAAGATTCTTCTCCAGCAATTTCCTTAGCGCCAATGTAAGGTTAGCTGGCCTGCAATTTCCCAGATTTTCCTTGACTAAAGAGGGTAGAGATTTTGTCCACCTGCCTCCCTCAGCGTTCTGGCGCAGATCCTGCCTGGTTCTGGGGATTTAGCCTTCCTTTAATGCCTTTCTTAAAACACCCAACACCCTCAAAATTTTGACATGCCCTAACAATCATAGAATCCCTACAGTGTGGAAACAGGCCATTCGGCCCAACATTCCACACTGCCCCTCTGAAGAGCATTGCACCCAGACCCATTCCCCTACCCTGCATTTTCCATGTCTAACCCAAACATCCCTGGGCACTTTGGGGCAACTTAGCACGGCCAATCCACCCTAACCTGCACATCTTCAGACCGTGGGAGGAAACCGGAGCACCCAGAGGAAACCCACGCACACACGGGGAGAACGTGCAAACTCCACACAGACAGAGGCCCGAGGGTGGAATCGAACCCGGGTCCCTGGCGCTGCAAGGCAGCAGTGCTAACCACTGAGCCACCGTGCCACCCCGTATCAATATACTCCTGCAGCTCACCATCCGCCATGTCCTCCTGCTCAGTGAATGCCGATGCAAAGTCTTCATTAAGAACCTCCCCCACTTTCTCCAGCTCCATGCATAAATTCCCTCCTTGGTCCCTGAGTGGACCTGCCCCCTCCTAGCTACCTTCTCGCTCTGTATATATGTACAAAATGATTTGGGATTTTCTTTAATCCTTTTTTGCCAAAAGACATTTATGGGTGGCGCAGCGCTTAGCATCTGCTGGTTGAGTGAATGGTGTGTGTCTATTGGTGCAGTGCTGCCTGTTTTTACTAACCACTCTGCTCTTCCCTGTCTGTCTCTTCTCTCTGTCTCTCTCTGCAGATTGCACACAGCAAGGAGAGAATGACTGGCAGCAGCCCAGTCTCACCCGCTTCCTCACCAGCCTCCAGTGCGGGTGGTTCCCCTGCTCATGTGGGCTCGCTCACCAATGACTCCCTGGACGGACCTGCCACCTTCGCCTCGCCCAAGCTCCAGCCACCGGAGGAGCTGGCCTGCGGCTTGTGGGTGCCTGACCTCGGGCCCTGCAACCAGCCTGTGAAGGGACAGGCCTGGGACAAGGCTCACGCCGAGATCGCCGAGCAGGCCAAGCATGTGAGTACCGCGCGTGTGCACGCGCGCGCACACACACACACACAACACGAGCTCATGGCAGAAATGGCTGGCTGCGAGTCAGAGCAGTGTCGGCAGAGTAGGTGCCTTCTCCCTCTCACTGTCCCCCTCTGCTCCCTCCACCCCCATTCTGTCATGTTGTCTCGCACTCCCCACCTGCATTGTCTCTGTTCTGGCTCCCTGCTCGCTTTGCCCCCCTTCCTGTTGTGTTGTCTCTCTGTTCTCTTTCTCCCCCTCCCCTTCCTGTTGTGTTGTCTCTCTGTTCTCTTTCTCCCCCTCCCCTTCCTGTTGTGTTGTCTCTCTGTTCTCTTCCTGGTTCTCCCCCTCCCCTTCCTGTTGTGCCTATGGGTTAGTCTGCTGCTCTCGATGTTAACCGTGTTCATTTATTCTCTGTCCTGCAACCACCACCCCCCCACCCCGGCTGCAGGAGGCCAAGATCGAGCATCGTATTGCCGAGCTGCGGAGGGAGGGCCTGTGGTCCCTGAAGCGACTGAACCGGGTACAGGAGGCTGCCAGGCCCAAGTCCCACTGGGACTATCTCTGTGAGGAGATGCAGTGGCTGTCAGCCGACTTCACTCAGGAGCGCCGCTGGAAGCGCGGTGTGGCGAGGAAGGTGAGAGCCGACCTCGTACCGGACCCTGATCCGAAAGAGCCGGAGGCTGCCATTGGGCTGTTCCAGCTTGCCATTGCCGTTCCGTGAGACAGTGGCTGACCGCATCGTGGCCTCGTTCCTGTGTAAAAACACCATCCCCCACCCCAGTCCTTCAAAACTCTCTCTAACTCGGCCCTGAGCATACTCAGTGATGCACCCTCTGCTCTTCTTTCGTGGGAGGGTGGGGGGTGGTTTGGGAATCCCACCCAGTATCATCCTCCTCTCTGTTCTGGTCCCCCCACCCCCCACGCCCCACCCTGGGAATTAGCCACGTGAGCTTTCTCCTGAAGTGAGGAGACCAGGACTGTACCCCATGCTCCAGTTACAGTCTGACCAGCAGCCAGGAATGTCCTGGCAGTCTGGGGGGGGGCTCCCGGTTTGCCTTTCTAATCGGGAGGGAGGTGGGTGCGTTTGTTGCGTCTGCATGCTGCCTTCCACCTGTGCCCCGTTGCTAACAGGGAAGGAGCTAACAAGTGGCTGGCACTGCTGCCTCACAGTGCCAGGGACCTGGGTTTGATTCCACCCTTGGGCGACTGTGTGGGTTTCCTCGCACAGTTCAAAAGATGTGCAGTTTTGGGGGATTGGCCATGGGAAATTGCCCGTAGTGTCCAGGGATGTGCAGGTTAGGGTGGGCCGATCATGGGACGTGCAGAGTTGCAGCAGTAGGGTGGGGGGTGGTGTGGGTCTGGTTGGAATACTCTTCGGGTGGCCATTGTGGACTCAATGGGCCGAATGCCCTGCTTCCACACTGTAGGGATTCTGATTTGTGTTACCATAAAGCAGCTGTGACTACATGTCTGTCTGGCTTTTGGTACCAAGGACGTTGGCGGATTCAGTCTGATGAATGAAAGCTGGGGTTGTGGTCTGGATCTCGTTAGGGCACCACCCGTGACCCTGTCCTATGGCTCCCTCTGTACCTCCCCTTCCCAACAGGTTCTGCCCCTCACCTGATGATCATCTCGTTCTCTCGTTCATTATTGTTTTTACGGAACGCCCGGTAGGTGGCCCGTACAGTCCTGCGTTTCCACGAGGAGCAGAGGCAGAAAGAGGAGAGGGCCAAGAGGGACGAACAGGTCAAGCTGCGGCGCATTGCTTCCTCTATCGCCAAAGACGTCAAGCAATTCTGGACTAACGTGGAGAAGGTAAGGCAGGGGATGGGCATTGGGTTCCGTGTGGGGGAGCTGTGCCCCCCACTCCCCACTCCCCAGCAGGTGACCGCTTGCAGGGAAGGGACTTGTGCTGTCCTCCGCTCCCACGTGCGACTCTGGATTCAACTGCCCGTCTGCTCTGGAAATGCCGCTGAGGAGTGCAACCCCCTCCCACCCCGTCCTGTAGGTCACCTGGGGAGGTGAGGGGGTGGTGTGCGTATGTGTAGCAACAGATGGTCCTGCCAGCGGCATCCTGAGTCCCACTTAGGAGTTCCGAGCCTGCCTACCATTCAGTAAGGTCCTGTCTGAGACCTCCATCTCCCTTTGTAGCCCGAGGCTCCTGGCCACTGAACGTCGTACCTTCTGAGGGCTGGTGATAGGGCATCTCTTACACCCGCTCAAAGGTTGGAACAGGGAGAGAGCAAGGTCTTTCTCAGTAAATGGGATGGCGTTCTGGTGGTGCCTTTTTTGCTGAAGGTGTGAACATGGTATTAGATATAGAATAAAGTTTCCTGTACTGTTCCCCCCTCACCCCATCAAACACCTCCTCCTCTCCCG